GATTCGGTTGGTATTGGTTGTCCATCAGGACCGACGTATGCTCCAGAATCGTCTGTTGGCAGCGGTTTTCCATCTTTACCGACCACTGGGTAAATCGGCCGTCTGTGCATATCTGTGGGAAGAGGACTTCCGTCTGGACCAACAACAGGATAGATGTAGTAGCCTGATTCATCAGTTGGAAGTACTTGTCCATCAGGTCCGGTGGGTTTTGGTGCGAGCTCTGCTTGTGTGGTCGTTGCTGGATGTTCTTCGGTAACAATGTGTGATACTTGCGGCATTGGTGTGCTCGAACGCTTGCAGTGTTGCTGAATCAATTGCGAGAATGTGCTGCCGTGAATTTTCTCCAGCGCTTCTTGTTTAGATCGTTTATCATCGAGCTTTTCTGGTGTTATGAATAGGTACGCAATACCGCTGACGTCTTCGGGGAGCCTGTAAATATATTGTTGTCGGTATACGTTGAAGACTTTTTGAGATTTGTGATATGTGTTACACTCTTTGGATATTGTATATATTTTATAGGAATGATATACTTCGTTTTTCCGCCTCGTGGTGGCGCATTTTGCTGGGGCTATTGTGTTGGTGGGATCGGGATTGAGGGATGAAGCCGCTACCAGCAGGCCGGTCATGGCACTTGCCGCCTGTCTACTCTTTCTCGGCAGCTATCTTAACTACGTCCTCCTTTTGACTAGAATGCTATCCCGGTATACCCATCGCACACCCAGATGGACTTTCCAGTCAAGTCCATCCTTCTAAATAGTATAGCTCAGAACTTATCTATGAATCACTTAGGTAACGTCAAGTAAAAGGTTTGAATTAGGACGAAGCCAACATTATGATATGAAGCATGGGGTGAGTATTCGTTCCCCACAAATATCGGCTCTCAACAAATCAATTCTTTCAGTGAATTCAAGTAAGCAGCAAACATTCAGGAATCCCTATCTCCACATTTCATGAGCTCCCCATCGTACGTTTGACTCCGATTGAGATTTGGTGAATTCAAAAACTAAACTCTTATAAAATTGAAATGATTGATTGAAAAAAATGATAGATAGGATAGGACCATACCTGGTCAGTTGGTGTCCTATCACGATGGCAATTTTTGAGGAATCCAACCGAGGAAACATATCAAATTGTTGCTTCACCGGATCATATATCGAAACTACATCACTGGATGAATCTTCTGTGAAAGCGATACGCCGCATCTGTTCCCTCATATGCTCTTTCTCTTGATATCCACCCAGAGTCAAAGGAACAACAATTTCCTTGCTTCCATAGACCAATCCGAATCGGGTCACATCAGGAGAGAGGTCGACCTTGTTCGCAAATTGTGATATTGCCTTCATAACGTTGTGGAATGTAGCTTTAGCCATATTTCTAGTGTCAACTGCAAATACAACGTCCATTTTCAAATTCTTGACTGTACAGTTTCGTCGAACCCCATCAATTGATTCCGGTAAACCCTGGCTGCTAGGTTCAGCAATCGTTTCTTCCTCATCTTGTGGAACACTGACGTAATGTCCGCTGCTGTCAGTAGGCAATGGTTCTCCATCTTTGTCCAATGGAACACCACTGCGATCAGTCGGTATGGGTCTACCGTCTTTTCCAAGAGGGTGACCCGAATCGTCAGTTGGAAGAGGAGACCGTCAGGTCCAAGAACTTGGATGAATGGGTCGCTTATGCTCATCAGTAGGAAGCGGACTTCCATCAGGTCCGAACACAGGATAGATGAAGTTTCCTGTGTCATCCGTTGGCAGAACTTGCCCGTCTGGTCCAAGAGGACGGCCTTCCTCATCTTTTTCGATGATCGGTTCCTTCGTCAGTGACGAAGTTTCCGGAAGTGTCAGTAGGCAGAGGTGATCCGTCAGGCTTCGTCACGGGATAGATGATGTTTCCGCTTTCGTCCGTAGGTAGTTCCTTGCTAGCTGCTTCTTCTCGTGGCACAGTGACATAATGTCCCACTGCTGTCAGTAGGCAATGGTTCTCCATCTTTGTCCAATGGAACACCACTGCGATCAGTCGGTATGGGTCTACCGTCTTTTCCAAGAGGATGACCCGAATCGTCAGTTGGAAGAGGAGAGCCGTCAGGTCCAAGAACTGGATGAATGGGTCGCTTATGCTCATCAGTAGGAAGAGGACTTCCATCAGGTCCGAACACAGGGTAGATGAAGTTTCCTGTGTCATCAGTTGGCAGAACTTGCCCGTCTGGTCCAAGAGGACGGCCTTCCTCATCTTTTTCGATGATCGGTTCCTTCGTCAGTGACGAAGTTTCCGGAAGTGTCAGTAGGCAGAGGTGATCCGTCGGCTTTGTCACGGGATAGATGACGTTTCCGCTTTCGTCCGTAGGTAGTTCCTTGCTAGCAGCTTCTTCTCGCGGCACAGTGACATAATGTCCCACTGCTGTCAGTAGGCAATGGTTCTCCATCTTTGTCCAGTGGAACACCACTGCGATCAGTCGGTATGGGTCTTACCGTCTGCTCCAAGAGGATGACCCGAATCGTCAGTTGGAAGAGGAGACCGTCAGGTCCAAGAACTTGGATGAATGGGTCGCTTATGCTCATCAGTTGGAAGCGGACTTCCATCAGGTCCAACACAGGGTAGATAAGTTTCCTGCGTCATCCGTTGGCAGAACTTGCCCGTCAGGTCCAAGAGGACGGCCTTCCTCGTCTTTTTCGATGATGGTCCCTTCATCAGTGACGAAATTCCCAGATACATCAGTAGGCAGTGGTGATCCATCCGGTCGTGTCAGTAATCCCACTGGTCCTGTAAATAGGCGTGATTAGTTTTTGACAAAATGTTTTGTTTTTTGTTCTGCTTCTAATCTATACAGATTCTGGTGTTGGTGTTGAATCAATTGTTGATCTCAATTTACTGAAAAGGTGTTATCTGGGAACACTCGAAATGTTCGGCGTCGTTTTTACGAATGGTGGAGGTCCCCCAACGAACATGTATGGTTGGTGGTAGGAAGTGATCACGTACGGTAGAGGGGGTTGTGCAAGTTTTACCACATTCTTTGCGCAAGTGAGGGCTTAATATGTTGTCGATAAGCGATTTCTTTTTTCTCCTAGCTCTAATTGTTGCTGGAAGGTACGAGTGATTCAGCGTTTAAGGTAACAGTACGTTTTGGTCCGAGCCTAAAGTAGAGAGACCTTGGGATACGTTGACGTTGAATTGGCCCTAGAGTTCGACGTCACCGACCCATAGCATTTATCTCAGTCGGGAAATCAAGCCCTTTTGGGGTGCACCACTCATCTTCTTTTAAAACTTTCTTTTAAAATTGAGTGACACTTCGAATATGATTCGTCCTATATAGAGTTGCGAGGGCCGGCCGATTACGCGGCTTTTCTGTCTTAGCATAGGGGTATAGCAACAATTTACCGAGGGGTGGAAGATTTGGTTAAGCTGAATGGCGTACGACCCAGTAATCTATCCGCCGACCTTAACGTGGTAAACAGCGCCACTTATCACCCACCGCTTCCACCTTGGCATCGTGGCGTAAAAAAAGGAAAACTATGTCGCCTATGTTGGTGTTGTGCCGATAGCGTCTGTCGCGATTCGAAGGGGATTGCGCATTCGTAGGAACGTGATAGTGTGTGTTTCCCTACACGCCTTCGTTCCTAACCCCACTCCTATAGATCAGAAGTCTAGTCCTTTAAGTTGAAAAAGCAGAGCAGAGCAAGTTGATGACGTCGTTGAGAATTGCCAACGCGAAAATCAGTAAGCAAACAATATGTTCTCTTACGGATTCTATTCCGCCTCGCTTGTTTTTCTTCAATTCTCCCTTTTAGCACATTGACTTTCATTTCCAGCGGCAACCAATTTATCACATTTCCTTGGTAGTGAAACTACTGCAATGGAGAGCACACTTGCCTGGAAGCAAGACGGCCAGGTTAACACGTTGGCGACTAGCGCATTTCGCGTCGCCACGCGGAACCGGCGCGGCCGCAGTATTTTCGAGCACGTGCGTAATTATGGCTGCGGACCCACCTATACCTAGAAAATGTTGAAATCGCAACGCAGAAGACGGTTAGGCGGTTTGCGAGCTCAGCTCTTTCTCGCATGGCCAAATCAAGGGCGTAAATCTTTCCGTATTTCCAAACAGGAAAGGATTCCTAGAGGAACTGGAAAAACTTGTTTGTCCCACTCAAACCGTAAGTCCGTAGACTGGGTCTGGTCCCAATCTCTTCTGCGCTAGGAAGTTGTAACAGTACTCCAACCGACTGGAAGCATAAAACCAGCTGGTTCCATTCTATTCCATATCCATTCGGGAATAACAAGCTTTACTCTAGGAAATCACTTTCAAGTACCCCTTGAGTGGAGCACTTTATTGAGGAAGATATGTACGGAAAACGACAACCATAAGTATTACTCCGCCATCGCTGAGTTATATTACCGTATTAATTTGAAACCTGTGAAAAAGGGCTTTTTTTCTGTCCGCATTCTACTTCCATTCGTACATTCGCAGTGGCAGTTTGAATGCGATGTGGCCTATACAATGACTTGCGGGGGCCAGCCGATGTACAAGTCAGTGTTTTTATCCTCCCAGACAAGTCTGGTACCAATTAACCGACCCCGGAGGGATGGAAGGCTTGGTTGGCCCGGGCGACTCACCGCCCCAGGAGATTTGATCATTGGCCCCGCTTCGCCGTGGTAAGAGCGTGATACCTGCCACTACACCACTTCCGCCCCCAAAAAATAAACATGCCATCTCGAACGACCATGGTGATCTGAAGGGCTTCAATTGTGAGGTGCCGGAAGTTACAAATGCCGAGCACCCCTCCACCTTTCCATGGTTAGTAGTTTTTTTTTCATTGTTACCACAAATAGAAAATGATTGAGTCCAATTACTAGCAGAAATACTGATGACCTCGCAACACCGGCATGTCAACGGGTTTGTTATCTTTGGGGCTGCATCAGTGAACTTCCGGGGACAGTGCAATCTAGACTCAATTGATGGCATAGTCTGCAGTTAGATCCGTAGAGTATTCCTCAAGAAGTAGTAAGGTTTTTATGCACAGTATCGTAGAACGTTGCCTCTTGAAATCCACAATCAAATTGCGCTACAACCCTTTGTCTTGATCGCTGCACCGTCGCTGCTGTTTACCGAGTCGTAACAAACGGCAGTACCATGACCTTGTATGATCGGCTGCTTATCATGTGACGTGTTCCTAACGTATTCCCACTGCTGACCGCGCTTGTGTCTCTCCTATATACACCGGTAGATCTCACAATAAAAGAAGGCCTTTCAATTTTGGAGTTTCTCTCAATCACACTTGTAGTTTGTGAGTGACTTGACCAGAAATTTTATCGTGACTGTGCTCTTACGTTGGTTAAATAGCAATGTCCGAATCCCCCATGCAGGTCAGGGTTCAAATTTTTAGGCGACAAGAGAGTCAGGTAAATTATTAGCAGTGATTTCCCACTCTGACGACTGATCAGATAAAAGCTATTTGAACTTCAAGCTCTCTTATGCAATCACAGCAATCACATTTGTTGTTACTTAAGGTCTCTGCTTCTACCATAAGATTGATAAGTAAAATACATACTCAGCCAACATTGACACTCACGTCATTTTCAAGGGTCTAAACATGGCTTCAGGCTTCAGATTTGCTCACTATTTCACCGAACGCCTCTCTTCTGGTGTCATCCCAGGAACGCTCGGAAAATATTTAGAACATGAAAGAAAAGCTCATCCTAGGCTCCACCGCTAGTGTGGTTATGCTACACAATCAGTATGGTACATTAGCAGCGAATGGATTTAAGTCCTCAAGCAGATGTATTGTCACCCTTATCGTTCGTTGCATATACCTATGACCTGTCTATTAATTGAACACAAACCCACTACCCGTCCAAAATTAAAAAATTATATTTAATATACGCCGATGACATGAAATTATAAGGGAGTTATAATGAGCAAAATTTATGACTGTTTCTACCAAGCCTTAATCCACTCCATTCGCAACATGATGAATTGGGCTATGGATTATGGAAACCTGGAAATTTTGCGAGAAACGTTGGTCCTACACCTAGGAAGAGCCAGAATCACACCATATACGAGGCGGCCAATTGACAATATATAGTGTCGCGCGTTCCTATGATGTTCTATGTGACCGTGGCGTTGCTCGTCAAAAATTCTGTTCCAAGTGTTCGCATAATTGAATAAGGTTCACACACATTATACAAATTGTTGTGTAATGCGATGTTTATGCGAATCCTATATATTCCCAAGCCTCACCCGATTACAAAAACCGCATGCTTCGCTTGAATCTTAAATCATTGTTACATATAAGAGTGTATGTGTGTGTTGAGTGAAGAGTGGAAGAGTGACGAGTGTAGTCAATGATGTGTATTCTGCTCTAAATTGTTGAAAGGTTGCCTGAAGGTGATGACACCGAGTGAGTACTTAAAGCAACAGTCCAGGCAGGGTTTCAACTACTTGGTCATTAGGCGGTCAAAACATGCCCCAGCCCAACTAAAGTTTATAGGAAATGTCTTTAATTTCAAAACCTACCTCTAAAATGCGCTGGAAGGGGTCGAAGTCCTCTTGGAGGGGGCGGATCACCCATAAAGAGGCGGATCGCCCAACATACGCTGTGCAGAGTCCGCGCTTGACTAGCGATCGTTGCGGGACCGCCGCGCTGTATGAGGTCGATTCCATAAGAACGCAATTGAAGCGCTTCAATTTCGATTGCTGGCAAATAGTTATGTATTTGCAAGCATGCAGCTATTTGCCAGCAGTTGCAATTGGAGCGCATGTACTACGGGCAGGTTCGGACAACTCGTCCAACACACGTCTCCCTAAACGGCAGGGGGAGTCCCTGTCTAAGCCCCTGCCCGACGTTTTTTTCTACTTTTTCTTTCTCCATTGACCAACTTCTCACCTGCAACGTCATTATAGGTGGTCCTTACCCGCGAATTCGTTCCTGGATTGTTGCTTTAAAAAATCGAACCGAAGCAGAGTCGTATAACTTCATTATCAACAACACTGTCGCTAGACTACAGAAAATCGATCAGGTTCAAGTTTGTATGATTATCCGGCGGAGCGACGGTTGGGTGGCTTCAGTTATTACCGGAGACTTGCAAATGGAAAAAAGAAGGACCTCAGAAGGAAAAGGTTCAGAAAGAAGTCAAGGAGCATTGACTTACTTGCCTTTTTAGGCATCAAACGATTTCGAATAATTGGTATCTGAGAACCTCCGGATAGTGAGTAAAGTACTGTTTGATTTGAGTTTATCGAATCAACGTTTCTGCTTTATAACTGATTTGGTTTCTGACGAATCATTGAAGAGCACTCACGATCGGAGCGCATAGTGAAATGGAATGAGTGTACGCGATTTAAACATGACCTCTCGCCGCTCATGCAACATTGCAAACTGTTTCCTCAATAAGCGAACGTGCATGTCCTTCATATCATAACTTCATGAGGATGGCTGAGCAACATCCACTCGCTACCAATGTACTACCAATTCAATGATGAAGCATCACTTCACGCCTAGCAGGGAGACCGCAGGTGAATTATCCTTCATGTTCTGGATTTTTCCCCATGGCTTCTGAGATAGCGTCAGAAACAATGGAGGGATGGCGATTGGGGGATAGTGAGCCATCCTAAAGCCTTAAGCCAGACACTAAGAGTTAAGGCCTTTGAAGACGAAGTATAAGTCGTAACGTCGAACCAAATAAACATTCCACCTATCAATAGTGGCACAAGCAAAGACACAATAAAAGCTATTGTGTTTGTAAGTTACATAATCAGGGCTTCCAACTCGAACGAGTAGACCATGCGTGTAGGCAGGGAAAGAACCACAAGTGATGAATTTCCGTCACAGTATGGATGAATAACAGAAAAAATTCTCAATAGCGTTCTAGGGAATTGTGCACACTAACATTTTCACTTCGCATATATGACACTATAATGAGACACTTTTGCTGAAGTCCTGAAGATAATGGGACTAAAGCATCTGCAACGAATACATTATACAACATCGCTCTTCGATGCCACCTATTTTCGTAAAACCCTCTCCTCTGCGCAAAGAGAAAAGGGATAGTTTGAAGATCGGAAGCCTACCGTCATTAATTGGTCATTTTCAAAGAAAAGTGTCCTCTATATAATGTAATACTTGCAGCCGCATTTTGTCAATAGAAATAATTAAAAGTCGCCATGAAATGAACAGCCATGAGATGTTTGAGAACTAGTATAGTAGACGTAGCTCACTGTTTGCTGGGCGATGGCCCTTTCAGAGGAATCATAGGAAAATTACAAGTGCACCGTTTACTGTGGTGACATCATGGCCCAAGAAATCCACAACATTCAAAGGAGATGTTTTGTAATTCTAGAACAAGAGTATTGTGGATACAAAAGTGCCCTAACCTGCATCAGCTCCGATGGTCGGCTTATGCTCAATCAGTTGGAAGCGGACTTCCATCAGGTCCAACCGCAGGGTAGATAAAGTTTCCTGTGTCATCCGTTGGCAGAACTTGCCCGTCAGGCCCAAGAGGGCGGCCTTCTTTGTCTTTTTCGATGATGGTCCCTTCATCTGTGACAAAGTTTCCAGAAGTGTCAGTAGGCAGAGGTGATCCATCGGGCTTTGTCACTGGATGGATAACGTTTCCGCTTTCGTCCGTAGGCAGTTCTTTGCTTACGGCCTCTTCTCGTGGAACAGTGACATAATGCCCACTGCTGTCAGTAGGCAATGGTTCCCCATCTTTGTCCAATGGAACACCACTGCGATCAGTCGGTATGGGTTTACCGTCTGCTCCAAGAGGGTGACCCGAATCGTCAGTTGGAAGAGGAGACCCGTCAGGTCCAAGAATTGGGTGAATGGGTCGGGGGGGGGGGGGTCTGAATGGGTCGCTTATGCTCATCAGTTGGAAGCGGACTTCCATCAGGTCCAACCGCAGGGTAGATAAAGTTTCCTGCGTCATCCGTTGGCAGAACTTGCCCGTCAGGTCCAAGAGGACGGCCTTCCTCGTCTTTTTCGATGATGGTCCCTTCATCTGTGACAAAGTTTCCAGAAGTGTCAGTAGGCAGAGGTGATCCATCGGGCTTTGTCACTGGATGGATAACGTTTCCGCTTTCGTCCGTAGGCAGTTCTTTGCTTACGGCCTCTTCTCGTGGAACAGTGACATAATGCCCACTGCTGTCAGTAGGCAATGGTTCCCCATCTTTGTCCAATGGAACACCACTGCGATCAGTCGGTATGGGTTTACCGTCTGCTCCAAGAGGGTGACCCGAATCGTCAGTTGGAAGAGGAGACCCGTCAGGTCCAAGAATTGGGTGAATGGGTCGCTTATGCTCATCAGTTGGAAGCGGACTTCCATCAGGTCCAACCGCAGGGTAGATAAAGTTTCCTGCGTCATCCGTTGGCAGAACTTGCCCGTCAGGTCCAAGAGGACGGCCTTCCTCGTCTTTTTCGATGATGGTCCCTTCATCTGTGACAAAGTTTCCAGAAGTGTCAGTAGGCAGAGGTGATCCATCGGGCTTTGTCACTGGATGGATAACGTTTCCGCTTTCGTCCGTAGGCAGTTCTTTGCTTACGGCCTCTTCTCGTGGAACAGTGACATAATGCCCACTGCTGTCAGTAGGCAATGGTTCCCCATCTTTGTCCAATGGAACACCACTGCGATCAGTCGGTATGGGTTTACCGTCTGCTCCAAGAGGGTGACCCGAATCGTCAGTTGGAAGAGGAGACCCGTCAGGTCCAAGAATTGGGTGAATGGGTCGCTTATGCTCATCAGTTGGAAGCGGACTTCCATCAGGTCCAACCGCAGGGTAGATAAAGTTTCCTGCGTCATCCGTTGGCAGAACTTGCCCGTCAGGTCCAAGAGGACGGCCTTCCTCGTCTTTTTCGATGATGGTCCCTTCATCTGTGACAAAGTTTCCAGAAGTGTCAGTAGGCAGAGGTGATCCATCGGGCTTTGTCACTGGATGGATAACGTTTCCGCTTTCGTCCGTAGGCAGTTCTTTGCTTACGGCCTCTTCTCGTGGAACAGTGACATAATGCCCACTGCTGTCAGTAGGCAATGGTTCCCCATCTTTGTCCAATGGAACACCACTGCGATCAGTCGGTATGGGTTTACCGTCTGCTCCAAGAGGGTGACCCGAATCGTCAGTTGGAAGAGGAGACCCGTCAGGTCCAAGAATTGGGTGAATGGGTCGCTTATGCTCATCAGTTGGAAGCGGACTTCCATCAGGTCCAACCGCAGGGTAGATAAAGTTTCCTGCGTCATCCGTTGGCAGAACTTGCCCGTCAGGTCCAAGAGGACGGCCTTCCTCGTCTTTTTCGATGATGGTCCCTTCATCTGTGACAAAGTTTCCAGAAGTGTCAGTAGGCAGAGGTGATCCATCGGGCTTTGTCACTGGATGGATAACGTTTCCGCTTTCGTCCGTAGGCAGTTCTTTGCTTACGGCCTCTTCTCGTGGAACAGTGACATAATGCCCACTGCTGTCAGTAGGCAATGGTTCCCCATCTTTGTCCAATGGAACACCACTGCGATCAGTCGGTATGGGTTTACCGTCTGCTCCAAGAGGGTGACCCGAATCGTCAGTTGGAAGAGGAGACCCGTCAGGTCCAAGAATTGGGTGAATGGGTCGCTTATGCTCATCAGTTGGAAGCGGACTTCCATCAGGTCCAACCGCAGGGTAGATAAAGTTTCCTGCGTCATCCGTTGGCAGAACTTGCCCGTCAGGTCCAAGAGGACGGCCTTCCTCGTCTTTTTCGATGATGGTCCCTTCATCTGTGACAAAGTTTCCAGAAGTGTCAGTAGGCAGAGGTGATCCATCGGGCTTTGTCACTGGATGGATAACGTTTCCGCTTTCGTCCGTAGGCAGTTCTTTGCTTACGGCCTCTTCTCGTGGAACAGTGACATAATGCCCACTGCTGTCAGTAGGCAATGGTTCCCCATCTTTGTCCAATGGAACACCACTGCGATCAGTCGGTATGGGTTTACCGTCTGCTCCAAGAGGGTGACCCGAATCGTCAGTTGGAAGAGGAGACCCGTCAGGTCCAAGAATTGGGTGAATGGGTCGCTTATGCTCATCAGTTGGAAGCGGACTTCCATCAGGTCCAACCGCAGGGTAGATAAAGTTTCCTGCGTCATCCGTTGGCAGAACTTGCCCGTCAGGTCCAAGAGGACGGCCTTCCTCGTCTTTTTCGATGATGGTCCCTTCATCTGTGACAAAGTTTCCAGAAGTGTCAGTAGGCAGAGGTGATCCATCGGGCTTTGTCACTGGATGGATAACGTTTCCGCTTTCGTCCGTAGGCAGTTCTTTGCTTACGGCCTCTTCTCGTGGAACAGTGACATAATGCCCACTGCTGTCAGTAGGCAATGGTTCCCCATCTTTGTCCAATGGAACACCACTGCGATCAGTCGGTATGGGTTTACCGTCTGCTCCAAGAGGGTGACCCGAATCGTCAGTTGGAAGAGGAGACCCGTCAGGTCCAAGAATTGGGTGAATGGGTCGCTTATGCTCATCAGTTGGAAGCGGACTTCCATCAGGTCCAACCGCAGGGTAGATAAAGTTTCCTGCGTCATCCGTTGGCAGAACTTGCCCGTCAGGTCCAAGAGGACGGCCTTCCTCGTCTTTTTCGATGATGGTCCCTTCATCTGTGACAAAGTTTCCAGAAGTGTCAGTAGGCAGAGGTGATCCATCGGGCTTTGTCACTGGATGGATAACGTTTCCGCTTTCGTCCGTAGGCAGTTCTTTGCTTACGGCCTCTTCTCGTGGAACAGTGACATAATGCCCACTGCTGTCAGTAGGCAATGGTTCCCCATCTTTGTCCAATGGAACACCACTGCGATCAGTCGGTATGGGTTTACCGTCTGCTCCAAGAGGGTGACCCGAATCGTCAGTTGGAAGAGGAGACCCGTCAGGTCCAAGAATTGGGTGAATGGGTCGCTTATGCTCATCAGTTGGAAGCGGACTTCCATCAGGTCCAACCGCAGGGTAGATAAAGTTTCCTGCGTCATCCGTTGGCAGAACTTGCCCGTCAGGTCCAAGAGGACGGCCTTCCTCGTCTTTTTCGATGATGGTCCCTTCATCTGTGACAAAGTTTCCAGAAGTGTCAGTAGGCAGAGGTGATCCATCGGGCTTTGTCACTGGATGGATAACGTTTCCGCTTTCGTCCGTAGGCAGTTCTTTGCTTACGGCCTCTTCTCGTGGAACAGTGACATAATGCCCACTGCTGTCAGTAGGCAATGGTTCCCCATCTTTGTCCAATGGAACACCACTGCACTGCGATCAGTCGGTATGGGTTTACCGTCTGCTCCAAGAGGGTGACCCGAATCGTCAGTTGGAAGAGGAGACCCGTCAGGTCCAAGAATTGGGTGAATGGGTCGCTTATGCTCATCAGTTGGAAGCGGACTTCCATCAGGTCCAACCGCAGGGTAGATAAAGTTTCCTGCGTCATCCGTTGGCAGAACTTGCCCGTCAGGTCCAAGAGGACGGCCTTCCTCGTCTTTTTCGATGATGGTCCCTTCATCTGTGACAAAGTTTCCAGAAGTGTCAGTAGGCAGAGGTGATCCATCGGGCTTTGTCACTGGATGGATAACGTTTCCGCTTTCGTCCGTAGGCAGTTCTTTGCTTACGGCCTCTTCTCGTGGAACAGTGACATAATGCCCACTGCTGTCAGTAGGCAATGGTTCCCCATCTTTGTCCAATGGAACACCACTGCGATCAGTCGGTATGGGTTTACCGTCTGCTCCAAGAGGGTGACCCGAATCGTCAGTTGGAAGAGGAGACCCGTCAGGTCCAAGAATTGGGTGAATGGGTCGCTTATGCTCATCAGTTGGAAGCGGACTTCCATCAGGTCCAACCGCAGGGTAGATAAAGTTTCCTGCGTCATCCGTTGGCAGAACTTGCCCGTCAGGTCCAAGAGGACGGCCTTCCTCGTCTTTTTCGATGATGGTCCCTTCATCTGTGACAAAGTTTCCAGAAGTGTCAGTAGGCAGAGGTGATCCATCGGGCTTTGTCACTGGATGGATAACGTTTCCGCTTTCGTCCGTAGGCAGTTCTTTGCTTACGGCCTTCTCGTGGAACAGTGACATAATGCCCACTGCTGTCAGTAGGCAATGGTTCCCCATCTTTGTCCAATGGAACACCACTGCGATCAGTCGGTATGGGTTTACCGTCTGCTCCAAGAGGGTGACCCGAATCGTCAGTTGGAAGAGGAGACCCGTCAGGTCCAAGAATTGGGTGAATGGGTCGCTTATGCTCATCAGTTGGAAGCGGACTTCCATCAGGTCCAACCGCAGGGTAGATAAAGTTTCCTGCGTCATCCGTTGGCAGAACTTGCCCGTCAGGTCCAAGAGGACGGCCTTCCTCGTCTTTTTCGATGATGGTCCCTTCATCTGTGACAAAGTTTCCAGAAGTGTCAGTAGGCAGAGGTGATCCATCGGGCTTTGTCACTGGATGGATAACGTTTCCGCTTTCGTCCGTAGGCAGTTCTTTGCTTACGGCCTCTTCTCGTGGAACAGTGACATAATGCCCACTGCTGTCAGTAGGCAATGGTTCCCCATCTTTGTCCAATGGAACACCACTGCGATCAGTCGGTATGGGTTTACCGTCTGCTCCAAGAGGGTGACCCGAATCGTCAGTTGGAAGAGGAGACCCGTCAGGTCCAAGAATTGGGTGAATGGGTCGCTTATGCTCATCAGTTGGAAGCGGACTTCCATCAGGTCCAACCGCAGGGTAGATAAAGTTTCCTGCGTCATCCGTTGGCAGAACTTGCCCGTCAGGTCCAAGAGGACGGCCTTCCTCGTCTTTTTCGATGATGGTCCCTTCATCTGTGACAAAGTTTCCAGAAGTGTCAGTAGGCAGAGGTGATCCATCGGGCTTTGTCACTGGATGGATAACGTTTCCGCTTTCGTCCGTAGGCAGTTCTTTGCTTACGGCCTCTTCTCGTGGAACAGTGACATAATGCCCACTGCTGTCAGTAGGCAATGGTTCCCCATCTTTGTCCAATGGAACACCACTGCGATCAGTCGGTATGGGTTTACCGTCTGCTCCAAGAGGGTGACCCGAATCGTCAGTTGGAAGAGGAGACCCGTCAGGTCCAAGAATTGGGTGAATGGGTCGCTTATGCTCATCAGTTGGAAGCGGACTTCCATCAGGTCCAACCGCAGGGTAGATAAAGTTTCCTGCGTCATCCGTTGGCAGAACTTGCCCGTCAGGTCCAAGAGGACGGCCTTCCTCGTCTTTTTCGATGATGGTCCCTTCATCTGTGACAAAGTTTCCAGAAGTGTCAGTAGGCAGAGGTGATCCATCGGGCTTTGTCACTGGATGGATAACGTTTCCGCTTTCGTCCGTAGGCAGTTCTTTGCTTACGGCCTCTTCTCGTGGAACAGTGACATAATGCCCACTGCTGTCAGTAGGCAATGGTTCCCCATCTTTGTCCAATGGAACACCACTGCGATCAGTCGGTATGGGTTTACCGTCTGCTCCAAGAGGGTGACCCGAATCGTCAGTTGGAAGAGGAGACCCGTCAGGTCCAAGAATTGGGTGAATGGGTCGCTTATGCTCATCAGTTGGAAGCGGACTTCCATCAGGTCCAACCGCAGGGTAGATAAAGTTTCCTGCGTCATCCGTTGGCAGAACTTGCCCGTCAGGTCCAAGAGGACGGCCTTCCTCGTCTTTTTCGATGATGGTCCCTTCATCTGTGACAAAGTTTCCAGAAGTGTCAGTAGGCAGAGGTGATCCATCGGGCTTTGTCACTGGATGGATAACGTTTCCGCTTTCGTCCGTAGGCAGTTCTTTGCTTACGGCCTCTTCTCGTGGAACAGTGACATAATGCCCACTGCTGTCAGTAGGCAATGGTTCCCCATCTTTGTCCAATGGAACACCACTGCGATCAGTCGGTATGGGTTTACCGTCTGCTCCAAGAGGGTGACCCGAATCGTCAGTTGGAAGAGGAGACCCGTCAGGTCCAAGAATTGGGTGAATGGGTCGCTTATGCTCATCAGTTGGAAGCGGACTTCCATCAGGTCCAACCGCAGGGTAGATAAAGTTTCCTGCGTCATCCGTTGGCAGAACTTGCCCGTCAGGTCCAAGAGGACGGCCTTCCTCGTCTTTTTCGATGATGGTCCCTTCATCTGTGACAAAGTTTCCAGAAGTGTCAGTAGGCAGAGGTGATCCATCGGGCTTTGTCACTGGATGGATAACGTTTCCGCTTTCGTCCGTAGGCAGTTCTTTGCTTACGGCCTCTTCTCGTGGAACAGTGACATAATGCCCACTGCTGTCAGTAGGCAATGGTTCCCCATCTTTGTCCAATGGAACACCACTGCGATCAGTCGGTATGGGTTTACCGTCTGCTCCAAGAGGGTGACCCGAATCGTCAGTTGGAAGAGGAGACCCGTCAGGTCCAAGAATTGGGTGAATGGGTCGCTTATGCTCATCAGTTGGAAGCGGACTTCCATCAGGTCCAACCGCAGGGTAGATAAAGTTTCCTGCGTCATCCGTTGGCAGAACTTGCCCGTCAGGTCCAAGAGGACGGCCTTCCTCGTCTTTTTCGATGATGGTCCCCTTCATCTGTGACAAAGTTTCCAGAAGTGTCAGTAGGCAGAGGTGATCCATCGGGCTTTGTCACTGGATGGATAACGTTTCCGCTTTCGTCCGTAGGCAGTTCTTTGCTTACGGCCTCTTCTCGTGGAACAGTGACATAATGCCCACTGCTGTCAGTAGGCAATGGTTCCCCATCTTTGTCCAATGGAACACCACTGCGATCAGTCGGTATGGGTTTACCGTCTGCTCCAAGAGGGTGACCCGAATCGTCAGTTGGAAGAGGAGACCCGTCAGGTCCAAGAATTGGGTGAATGGGTCGCTTATGCTCATCAGTTGGAAGCGGACTTCCATCAGGTCCAACCGCAGGGTAGATAAAGTTTCCTGCGTCATCCGTTGGCAGAACTTGCCCGTCAGGTCCAAGAGGACGGCCTTCCTCGTCTTTTTCGATGATCCCTTCATCTGTGACAAAGTT